GTATTATTGGCCCCACATTGATGATGACGTGAAGTTATACGTCAATACTTGCGATATTTGCCAGCGAGGTAAATATGAAAGACATCCACCTAGAATTGAATTTGAGATTACCCCGACAGCTAAAATGCCATTCCAAATTGTTCACTTAGATGTATATCAAGCTAACAATAAGAATTTTTTAACAATAATTGACAATTTTTCAAAATATGCGCAAGCCTTCCCAATCGAAGCAGCTGTCGCTATCTCTGTTGTAGACAATTTGATCAAATTCATGTCATTTCATGGTTTACCCATCCAAATTGTTGCAGATTCTGGTACTGAGTTCAACAACTCCTTAATAAAAGAGTTTGCAAAACTCCATAAGATAAAGCTACATTTTACAACTTCAAAAAATTCAAATAGTAATTCACCTATTGAACGATTCCACTCCACTATAACAGAACATTTAAGAGCTCTTGCATTGCAATTTCCAAAAAAGGATGTTAATTCTTTGATGCCTTATGCAATCCTTGGCTACAATCAGTCTATACATTCAGTGACGAAACGAAAACCAATTGAAATTATTAACGGACATTTAGACGTTAGAGATCCTTTTGATCTAGACGTTGATCGAGAATTAATGAACAATTACCTTCAAGAACACAAGAATAGGACAAAATTAATTTATAGCCTTATCTATGACATGTCGAAAACCCAAAAGGAAAAGGTTATTCGAAAAGCTAATAAAGATCGCGAAAAACCGACCGATTATTCTAGAGAAAAAGTAGCCTACCGACGTGACGCGAAGTCCCGAGGTAAAAAGCTGAAACCACCCTATATAAAAGAACAGATTCTGACTGACAAAGGTTTAAAACTAAAAACTAATAGAAATATTTATCATAAAAGTATTTTCAAAAAGCCCAGAAAGAAAGTAACTCAAAATTTGTTACAGGATGATACTTCTTCTGATAGTGCATCTGACACATCAATCCACGGTGAAGGTCACCAACCTTAAAACAAATCCTGGTATACTACCCTTCAGATTAGGTGATGCTAAAGTAAAGATAGGAACACATACATTTTTACACTATGTAGATTTTGAGCCGATAATTAAGGAAGTAAATTCGCTAAGTACAGTATTTCAAGAAATCAAGGACCAAACAGAAAAGAATAAATATAATTTAGGATTCATTCCAGATACACATTTGGCAGATATAGAACAACATATAGTTTACTCGATGTCAAATTTGAAAAACAAAATAATGTCCATATATCCATTCTGGAAAAAGCAATATCGCCCAAAACGAGGTTTGATAAATGGTTTAGGATCAATTATCAAAATGATTTCAGGGAACTTAGATGATGACGATGCTAAAAAATATGACCAGGCTATTGAACAATTACAGAAAAATTAGAACCAAGTAATTAAGACAGTTAATCAGCAAATTTCCTTGACCCACGAAGTTCTCAAAAATAACAATAAGACATTTAACCTTATGGTTCACAATCAAGCTGTAATCGAACAAACTTTGGTAGAGATGCAAAGGAACAATACATACTATTTTACTATTTTGGATACACTATTACAAATAAAGTTCAATTTAGATACACTGCTCTCTATAACTAGTAATTTGGAAAATGCCATCGCATTTGCCAAAATTGGGTCATTGCACCACAGTATTATTTCGATAGACGAATTAAAGTCAATATTCCAAATATTAGTCAAAAATCATAATAAAGCTCAGTGGGTGTATTCAGACATCAAAGATATTTATAAGCTTTACGACATAATTTCAGTAGAAGCATATTTTTCTGAAAATCGATTAGTTTTTGCCTTACATGTTCCGCTTATGCACGTAGACAAATTTAAGCATTATCATCTTTATTCCATTCCTACTGTTAACCAAACTACCATTATTCCCAAAAATTCCTATTTCACAATGAGTACCAAAATGTACCAATATGATGCTGAACCATGTCAAATGATAGAAGATATTTTTATTTGCCACGAAAACAAATTGGTCCATGTTGCAGAAGAAGAAGACGACTGTTTATTTGCTATTTTACAAGTAAACAAAAAGCAGCCAAATTGTAACAAAATTCCCGTAACTCTTAAAATGGCCTTAATTGAAGAAGTTTCAGAGTCCAAATACATTGCTATTTTTCCGAAACCTGAAAAGCTGATAATCAAGTGTGAACAAGATGACGTCATAGAGTTAAAAGGCATTTACCTACTTGAAGTGCCTTACCAATGCAGCATACAAACGAAGGACTACATTTACAAAAATCAAAAAGGAACAACCATGGAAAAGCCGCTGCTGCTTCCAGAGGTCCACATTTCATCAAAAACAGAAAATCCAAAGGAAATCAAGTTAGTACATATTTCCTTAGATAAACTTCATCACTTGCAAGAACAAGCCGACCAAATCCAGGTAGATCTTCCCGAAACAGTGAAGCACCCCTACAAATGGAGTCTACCCCTGTATGCAATTATGTTAATTGGAATTGCATGCATCTTCGTGAAAAACTATTACCAGAAAAGAAAAGGATCAAGAAGAAGCCAGCAGTTAGAAGAAATCGAAATGCAACCCCAGAGGCACGAAGTTTTGTTTGTGCCCTCCAAAACTTCATCTTAAGGGTGGAGGAGTTATGTTGCCGTCATTTAGCACTTTATTAATTAATATAATACTTGCATTGTATTCCTTTTTGCTAGCTCATCACTTTTGGTTTATATTAACGATTGTATCTTAATTATGAGTCAGTCATTCAATCTCAGTCACAGCGAACACACACACTGTAATTCCGGTTCGGTCCATGTAAACTATTGTTGGAATCAAATAAAGTTTTTTAAAAACGAAGTTTGAAGTTCCGACTACATAATTCGCGCCAAACTTACCAATAGATACCATCAAATATATTGATAGGATTCTTAAAAATTACGTACCTATGTAATTATCTCAAAATACAAACAATGATTACCTTGACCGGCTCTTATTGAACGTTGACATCCACCAGCGTCTCCTCTTCTTGTTTTTGTTAATTTTATTAAGTAAACGATATCCACAAAATAAGACAAAAACGGCTGATGCAACAGCCATGCCTTCTTCTTCAGTGGCATTGCTCCATGGCTGGAGGTGGCAATTCGACTCACAAGACATAGTGCGCTGCGCTAAACAGACTGAATCAAACTGAGGTGTAAAGCCAGAAGGCACGCGCCGCGCCGCGCCGCACAAACGGGTGGCGCGGCGTGTAGCGTGGCGTGTTCTTGCGCGTGGAGCGGCGCGACGCGTAGTAGCACGCGTAGTGAGAAGCCACCATAAGATACGAAGTCTGCTATGGAAAATGAAAGCTTCGCAAAACAAAGATGAGCATGTATAATTGTGAATTTATTTGAGGGCTAATTAAAATTTTATTTCAAATGTAATATTTTTGGTTTCTATAAATGCTTACAAAACCGACACTGCTATTTTTAAAGCGTTTTTATTTCTAAATTGTCTTCTTTACGGAATGATTTGTGTATCGCAAACATCATGGAGACAACTTAAGTTGAATGGTCTGTTTATTCGCATCGATAAAATGAAGGTAGGCTTTGTAACGCATCTTCACAAAACCAAGAAACTTCTGTCAGGGGAGGTTAAGAATTTATGGCAACGCATCTTCAAAAACCTCAGTTTTGATCAAAAGATTATTTTGTTTGGATTAGTTTATTATGTCTAATATTATGTACTGATTTGGCAAGAAATACAACTGAATACGACGCTATGATGGCACTATCTAAAAGAAGGTAGCGGAATTAAAAATATAACTATTACGGTGACGTCAGAAATATAGATTTCTGCTTATCTAGAACGCTATCGTTGAGTAAAAATTCGTTCATAGAAGAAGCCACACTGTGACAGCATCAATCAGCGAGCTCCTCTCATTCCCGAATTTGTTATTGCTACTAGTTCTCCGATAGCCTTCTATACCTGTAAATAAAATGTTATCCTTATATTTCACATCCTAGGAGTATTTGGCAGTCAAGTACTCCGCATATCGTCAGCACACTGCAAAAACAAGATAACTCCATTTTTCTACGCTTTTTGAGTGGAATATACTTTCCAACTTATACCTGTGCAATTTCAGGCGACTTGTAGCTGAATTAGAAAACTTTTTGATAGATACAGCACTCGGCGGAACACTTTCTTCCATTTTTAAACAAAAACGAAACTTAGTTTATCGATTTTTTTGTGCGCACGATATTGCCCTTATAGCTGCCGATTCACTAATGTTTTGATGTTTGGGAGTAAACCTGACCTCACTTGTTATTTTAAACATTGACTACACCATTGTATACATAGTATACATATCGTTTACATTGTATACATTGCATACATTGTATACGAGTACAGTGTACGCATTGTACCTACATTTTATACATTGAATATATACTTTATTTACATTGCATACATCGTATACATTGTAATCATCCTATATATTAAATACATTATACAGAGTGTTTTAAAGTTGAGTCGTATATTTCAACTGCTTGTACGACTCGTCAAAAGGAGTTGACATACCAAAAATCACCTATATAAAAGTTGCATAGCAAAAGATTATTAAGTACCTCTAAATGTGAGACAGAATATGTGGTTCCTACATGATGGGACTCCACCACATTTTAGACGAGAAATTCATGAACATCTAAGTAATGAGTTTTCGAATAGATGGATAGGGCGCAATGGACCCTTTCTTGGCCTGCTTGCTTCCCGGATTTAACACCCAGCGAATTTTTTCTGTGGAGCTATTTAAAAGATTTGGCGACGATGGAGCAGTAAATATACTGGAAGAACTTCAACAGCGCACTGTTAAAATATATTACTCAACTTTGAAAACACCGTGAATACATCGAGCCGTAGACAATTTTAGTATAAGCGTAAACGTCCATCACCGTGCCTAGTTAGGTATAGTGCTACAATTAAACCCAGAACTACTTTGTGTTATACTCTTTGGTTGACTACAGTCAAAAACTTCTTTCATAGCAAGTGGAATCCCTTCGTGAAAAACTGAACCACGAAACTCAGCAACTAGCCAGGCAGCTATCACTGTGCGAACAAGCAAATCAGAGAATTAGAGCCCTAGAAGAGGAGAAAAATCACATGGAAGCAAGACTTCACAAAGCTGACACTGAGATAACTGCTTGCGAGCTCCACAGAGATGGTCTTAAGAGAGATAAGGCTACAGTAAGTACTCAAATTATCTCCGAATATACTTGCATCATGTTTCAATAACCAGCATGACCTGCGCTGTTCATAGAGTACACACGTCAGCCGTGAGCGCCAGCTATGAAGGAATGGCACAACGTCTGTTTTGCTGACATTTGCCTAAACTACTATAACCCGCATTTGGATAGCATGTTTTGTGGGTATCAGGGTCATACGTTGGATACTTTTAGGACGAAATGTAACGGAGGAAATGTGATCGAGTAGAAAGATCGCATTTAGCTGCTTGTCTGCGCAATAATGGCCATGTGTACAGGTTAAAAATTATTTGCAAAAATCGTCATCATAATAATCATATAAAATTTGACATCTAAGTCGCAGTTTGGTAGCTGTAGCTGCAGTTACGTCGAGACTAGCCGCCAAAGTCCAAACACTTATTTAAAAGGAAAAAGCTTTATAATAACTCACCATCAACAATCTTTGTTTATGCTACATTTCATGCCTTATCCTTAGGTACCTGTACATGTAACGTACTTTAGAGTACGACGAAAGAAACTTATATCACTGAAATATAAATTCCAACTTTCTTCGCCATTTGAACTTCCTGCCTTTGTCGGAATATGCAGTAAGGATGAATTATCTTACGACTTTGAAAGTTGACACTCACTTTTATTACGTACGCTTTATTCCTGCTTTCAGGAGAAAAATATTTTCCGCTGGATAGAATTTCCTATTGTTATAGCGAGGAATTTTCGGTCTCATTAGGGATGAGACGTTAGCGCTATAAATATACGGATGCTTTGTTATTTGGCAGAGCTTGGGGAAAATGGGATCTATTGAATATAGTTTTGAATCAAGTTATTATATAAGCAAAGTTTCAAAATGTAATCTGCCCACATTTTCCCAAGCAGCTAGCGGGGATTACGATACAGACCTCTGTAAAAAGCCTACTGGCAAGGAACTGATAGTCTATGACCGTATGTTTGGACATCTAAGCTGCTTTGCATCCAGTTGCTTCCAGGCAGGTCACGGTTGAAAATTGTTGGCCTCCCTGATTTGGACCCCGTACACACCAACGACACCTACTGTGGGATAATCGGACCACAGTTAGTCTACGAATTTCCCTTTTTGGAGAGCCAAACAAGGATCGTTCTACACCCAACATGAGAAACGTGCGCATGTTCAGTGGCACTGTGAAGCATGCCACAGAATTCAAACATTTGGTCATAACTCTCAAGGCAAAACGCTTCATGAAAATCTTTGAGTCCAGACTGTGGACAATTATGAAGGGCTAGAGTGGCTACACCCTTGCATCGTTATTGCAACCACTATTTCCTTATAAAATTAGCTTTCCCTTTATCCATAGTTTATGAACTTCCTCGATCGGCTTGCAAGAGCTCTCAACATGGATGAAATATCGCATGACCTTGGTGTGGAGCTACACACAGAATCGTTATTGATGAGGGCGGAACAACTAGCTAGACTAGAGAGTGAGAAGCTGGTGGATAAGGTGCGTATATAAGCTTTTTGAAAAATACCATTATATATGGTAACAAAAAATGTAAACAATGCCTTAAGAAAATAAACCATGCGATCATCATGTCAACTTTTCTGAAAGTTTACTTACACGCCCTCGTTAGGCTGAACCCCCATATTTGAAAATATTGGAAAATGGCAAAATATCAATTTGTTTGCAGCCTTAAGGAACATCCATGTCATTAACAGGTGGTTCCCATTTTGAATAGCAAGAGCTCCAAAAATCCTAACTTAAACAAAAAACATCTTATTTTATTGTTTACGAGTACTTACTTTAGGCTTATTTCCTTTTTTAATAACCTCGTATTTCCTGGTACACTGTCAAACTTATTTCGTGCCGTTTTCATTGGAAGCGTTGATATTTTGCCATATGTTTTTTTAGGAAAAAAACTAGTTTCTTCCATTCTTTGTAGGAGTGGAGTTTGCTAGACTCAAGTTGCTCCTTTACGTCTTTATATTAACTCAGGTATTTTGGCAATAGTTAAAATTATTCACCTTCATAGACGTAATCTGGACTTCTATTGTTGCTGGGCTGTACTGTACTGCCTTCCAAAAATCTGCTGCTGCTTTGCTTTGACGCTTTAGTGAGCTGTGTATGACACGTAGAAACAGGTCAAGTTTCCAGGCGTAAGCCACGTATTTCGAAGTATCTAGGTAAAATACCCTTACAAACCTCAACTACAAGGGAAGCGAAAAACTACAAGTGCAGGGATTGGCATTAGTATTTTTTCAAGAATTTTTACTACTGGTTCTATATTATTATTTAATTGTACACATTTCCTCTTCAGATACGCTGATTCATGGAAAAAAATTAAATTTACTGGAGCCGAAATTCACAATCTTCAATTATCTTTCAAATACAGGGGTTTAGCCTACAAAATAGAAGGAATTAGGTCCGTATCGCCAGTCGTTCCTGTAACTGTAAGACGCCTTTATGGACTCCTTGATTTTTATAGTATTATCTCTCCTTCAGAAACGCTGGGTATTTCTGGATTTCTACTGTTCCGTGTCAGAGTCCGCGCTGCCCTACTGAGAGGTTATGTTTTCTTTTTGAATGCTAAGAAATTTCACGCTAATAAAACAGATGATAAAAATGGATTTCTTAGAATTTAAAAAGAAAACATAACCTCGAAATAGAGTGCTGATACGGAACAGTACAAATTTAGAAACACCCCTATGAAAATCGGGGAGGCCATATAAGTGGCCCGTAGTCAAACCTAAAAAGTTAGAACTTATGATGATTCGAAAGTACTAATAACACTATCGTTACTACATTACTATACTATTGTAGTGGTTTTCATGCTGTTAATCCGCCATGTCTGTCTGGCCAAATCAAACTACCTATATTTTTAAAATTCCTCTTCATTACATGACTTTCGGCCCCAAAAGTGACCTTTCTATATTGTCAAAAATGCCAATTGTACTTGAAAAAGTTCACCGTTGGGACTAAAACGTACAATAAGGAGGAATTTTATAAAAATCTTGTTTCTCAAACATTCACATCACAGTATGGTCAAATTATATAAATAATGGAAATATGTTGCGTTTTGTACTCAAGTATCAATATGGAAGAGAGTAAAATAACGTATCGTACGCCGATGTGAATGCGAGAGTATGGTGAGATCCGCGTTGGCAGTGGTGTACGCAGAGTCATGGATTATAATCTCCTCCATTTTGGTACCTGACTAAAATAGTGTTTGTCTTGTTTTGTGTGAGTAGCTGCTTTGCTGTGGATATGGAACGTTGCCTCGACTTTGCCACTTGAGACGTGAACGCTCTTTTCATGATCTGCCTTTGCGTGATGTAAGATTTTCGAAATTGCTGTAGATGCTTCAAATTTTGCACAAATTACAAAGGTCAACATTATATCTAAGAGTTATCAATGGACCCTAAGGCGTTTTTAGGGGATCGCTGAACTCAATACCATAACCGGTTGACCACTATGGCGTCAGGTTCAAATTTTTTTTAGGGCAAAGTCCACAAGAAAAAGAGATTTAAAAAATGTATCTGTGGTGTCTGAGATTTAGTCTGGAGTTTGTTTTGATCACTCAGATCATCCCCTCTGACATTGAAGTAACCTTATTCCGACCCTGGAATAACTTCTAGATCACCTCACCTGGTTAAACAAATCACATATTCAGATTCAGCGACCAGCGACACCCAAAACCTGTGTGTTTTCAGATAAGCTCACTTTTTTTTTTTATCTGACGTTGAAACAACCTATGGACGACCTCTCTAGGTAGAGCAACCGTCAAAAATCTTTTGGAAATAAAATTGACCTTGTTATGACCGTCAACCTGACATAATGAAGGTTAACCGACTTTGGCATTGAGACCGCCCCCACCCAAAAAAAAAAACACAATAAGTTACCTTTATCGGGTCCAGTGAAGCCTCAGATGAAATGTTGACCTGCGTTATATTCAAACCACCAACCATGTAATCATATTAGGGAAGCTGTAGTGTACCCGATGAAAGTAAGGTTTCAACGTTTCAACTATTGAAAAATAAAAATTGCCAGTACTTGTAGTTATTATCGTAAAACTGTCGAAACGCCTTTTTCACTGATATACGTAAAGCTGAAAAGTCTATAGCTTTAGAAAAATTCATTTCCGGCATCGTAAAGCTTGGTTTGAGAATGAACTAGAGCAGTGGTCGCCAAGCTTTCCAGTTAACAGTTCGTCAGTATCGTCAGTAAGCAAAATTCACCTACAATGGCATGTCACATACGATTTAATAAAGGTACCTAACTAAAAATTAAAAAAAAGCAACGCACTATTTCAAACAAAAACATGTCCAGATAAAAAATGCCTATTCAATGAGAAACCTGACACTCAGTCTGACTGACAATTTTTTAATGTTTGGAGAGTAATTTGATACAGCCAGTCGATACAATTATCCAAATGTTCATCTGTCGATTACTGTATTTGTTTTTAATAAACTTCATATTTGACCAAGAAGATTCACACAAGTAGGTTGAACGAAATAACGCTTTCACTTTCAAGGCAACACGACATAAAACTGAATGTGTATCTTCAATCACTGAAGGCCAGATATATTTTGTATTTGAGACTAATGAATTCAAAGCTAAATCGTTTTCAAACGTAGTAAAATTCTGCATAACAGAAGCTGCAAACTGTTGGATATTAAGGGTGAAACAACAAATTGAGCCACTATAGCAATTTCGTTGAAATCCTTGTAACGATTTTTAAAGTTATCCTTCGAGTTAGAGATTGTTTCTACATGATATTAAGAAAGAAGTATTGTTCTTCACATTCCGAATCTTCTTACTACTGGTCATAATGTTTTTAATTGCAGACCAACTCTAACCCAACCGCTGGACTTTGTGCTGTTCAGTTTTAAACTAAGCGCACTGTAATCGAGATCGTTCTCGAACAGATCGCTCATCGCAGTGTTGCCGCTGCTTGCGCTTAATATGAAAATTTACAAAATTAACGGAAGCTTCTATGATTTTTACACCTTTTTAAAATATGTTGGCGACCACTGAACTAGAGCATGACGCAGCTCTAAGCACAACAAAGGTCAAAGGGCACCTGCCTTTGGCAATGCGGGCAGTAGTACGCTCACTTTTTATTACGCAGATAACATGTTAAAATTCGCCTCTTGGGAAGGGAACAAAAACTTGCAAAGAAACAACTTTGAAGTTGCTGAATAATGTTCTTTATCACTATGGGTCATGAAATTTTGAGGAAACGAGATAAAACTTGCAGCTTTAATTTATGGCACTGGTGTAGGAAGAATGTAAGACAAGTAAACCCTTAGTTATTATCAAAATTTTAGCGTCATGCCTTCACGTTAGATACAAGTAGACTTCCGTATACATAACATGTCTGAAAATATTAAAATATTAATGTGAAGCCTTCTGGAACAATTTTAAGTAGGATAAGCTACATGCGGAGGAGTAGGGAAAATGATATTCTTGTATTGACGAGAGCAATACTTTTATGAATAATACTCGTAATGAACTAATTAAGAATATAGGTCGTTCTCTGCTTTTAGGCTTGCCAACGATTTTTCCACACTTGCTTTCTGCCTGGTAGACACACATTCTTTGCATTATTGACTTGTTCAAAATAACAGCTATGATTCTCTGAAATCGGTGAAACTTTTTTTTGCTTCTTGTTATAAGTTTCCCTAACATGAAATATAAAAGTTCATAGTTTCTCAGATATCGGTTGAGCGATACTTTTCCAATAACTTGTGGCTGAAATACAAAAATGGTGCTTAAATATTAAGGTTTATTAATTGAAAGCTTATCTCATCTCAGATATTTGAGATCTATTGTTCCGCTATTTTTTTTTTTGGTGATGGGGGAATGCTTTTATGCACCATACCATAGCCCGAGCTACGGCGTGTGTGGGACTCCAGGTTGTCTTGAGGAGACCACCTAATACCCACTAAACCCTAACCTCCACGTGGCCCGACTCATCAGCGTCTCGGTAGACCATGTGTTGTGCGTGACCTGCGGTCTGCTACAACGTCTCCTCATGTGTTTCAGTCTCTGGGAACGCCGGGTTGGTTCCCTTTACCTCGCACAGTTCTATCGATGTCGTTAAGCGAGCATCGATATAGGGTTTGCTATGTTCTCTTGAAACTCTTGTTTTCGAAAAATCAAGAGTTTCAAGTCCTCTACTACTTGTATGTTACCTGGTCCTGAAGGGTCCTGGTTCTGGTCCTGGTCCTGATAGGTCCTGGTCCTGGTGGTTCCTGGTCCTGATGGGATCTGGTCGTGGTCGTCCTATTCCTCGTCCTCTGCTTCCAGGCCTTGGGGGAGGGGGGGGAAGCAACTGCGGGTTCTCCTAGTCTCCCCTAGTCAAGGTTCTAGTTAGCGGGTGCCAACTGGGATCCTGGTCTAGGGTACTAGGATCTGCGGTTGTGAGGCCTCTCGTCCAGATCGTAGTCCATGAGGAGTCGTAGCTGCTCGTTCGGGTGGTCCTGAGCTTTCTGGAAGGTCTTCTCCGCTTTTTTCCTCATGTACTCGTGAATGGTGTCCCAATGCAGGTCTCTACGCAAGGTTGAGTTTCTTACGTAAGATGGTGCACTGGTGGCGATCCGGAGTAGCTTCATCTCTAGAGCAGCAAGTCGCTTGCGGTAGCTGGGAGCAGCGTACCCCTAGACCGCGGAGGCGTAAGCGAGCTGAGGTCTGGCGATGGCCTTGATTAGCCGTAGCTTGGTCGCTAGCGGCATCCGGCTGTGTCTACCCAGTTATGGGTAGAGTTGGGCCATGGCTGCTCTGGTCTTTACGATGACAGCTTCTATGTGGTCTCTCCAGGTGAGGGGCTTGTCAAATACGATCCCCAGATATTTGACTTTGTCGCTCCACTGAATATCTTCGTCGAAGATGGATGCTTCGAGAGGTCTTGCAATCCTTGCAATTCAGAGAAGTTCGCCAACTACAACTACTTGCCAGTTTTTGTTTACGCTATTTTTTGAGCTTGGAAGAAGTCAATTATTTTGCAAAAATGATTTTGGATCACGCAAGCCACCTTCAACTTTCTCCAACAGACTGCAATGGTATACCAACTTCAACGCAGAGTACGCAACCTGCGAGAGCAGCTCCAAAGAAAAGAGTTGCACCTAGATTTGCTAAGAAGAAAGCTGTCTTTGCAAGAGGATACAACAAAAGCCAAGTGCCTCTTGCAGCAGGAAAGAGACGAAGCAAATGTTAGAGTAAAGAAGCTTGTGAAGCAAGTCGATAGGCTTCAACTCCAGCTGGCCGAAGCTAAGAGCCAGATCAGGGAGTTGAATTCACAGCTTGCTGAAGCTGCCGATTATAAGGTAGGCCAATTTGGTTAGTAATATTACCAACTTAAAGTAACTTTTATTCGCTAGCTTTAAGTAAAAAAAAAAATGGTTGAGCAAAGGCAGATAAAAGACAACATCAAGACTGCAAGGATCTTAGCAGAGTAACAGTTTTGAATCTGTGGCATCTGCACATCGGCCTATCGGCTTAAGCAATCGCCACGTCGTGCTTTCAATAATTTCCCATCCATCAGTAAGGAATTAGCACAAAGCTTATCATATTTTATACAGGGTGTCCCGAAAAAAGTGTGCAATATTCTACCAGCGGTTTCTCGAGCTTAAAATAGGAAGAAAAGTTTATATAAACATAGGTCGACAAACGTCCCCTAAGGGCGCTACGGTCTTTTAAAGGGGCTCCCCTGAAGATGGTTTTTTCTGAATATTTGAGATAAAGACAAAAACTTTGGTATCCTAGCCTAGTTTTTTATGCTGGATTTAAAAATATTATCAATTTTAGACAGTTTTGTTTGGAAGCATATGTAACAGGGACGGACTCAGGTTATTTTAGACCCAAAATTTTTGTGTGATTCTATTTTTGAAATTCAATTTTAGAATTTGAAAATTTAGGGTTTTCTACATAAAAAAGGTACTCTTATTGAATATCGGTAAATTGTGCCATTTTTGAATAAAATCAAACTAAAAAACTTGTCACATGGTAGGAAATGTAGTGCGAATTTGAATGGATTGTTGATTATACATAGTTAGCCATGACTGCAAACAAAAGTTGTTTTGATTTGTTATGACTTATTTTGACGTTAAGCTGACATTGTTAGCTGTGTAAAATTACTAGATTAAAATCAAAACTTTTATTAAATCGATTTAAAATTCCGAGATTTACAGACAGAGAACTGACTGACATGCATTTTGTGTACGGGTTCTGCAATGGCAGTTCATTGGCAGCCGGAAGAGAATATCAAAGAAGATTTCCCAATCGCATAGTACCTGGACGTCGAATGTTGACTGATATTCACCGGAATTTGTCAAACCATGGAAGTTTTCAGCGTATGCAGGGCTCAGGAAGGCCACTGGGAAATCATCGTATGGATATTGCTTTAAATATGTTTGAAAATAATCCGCAAATAAGCATACGAAATGTTTCAGAAATTATAGATATACCTCGATCAATAGTAAGGAAAATTTATGAATACCTATTTGATAGTTATCCTAAAAATAATAATTTTAGATAGGAAGAATGACAAGAATGCAAGGGTTACATCCTTATCATTTTAAACGTCTGCAGCATGTATCGGATGCAGAATTTTTACCACGAATCGAGTTTTGCCAGTGGATATTAGCAAATGGAAACACTATCCCTAGAATATTATGGTCGGATGAGTCAATATGTACTAGGAATGGTGCTTTTAATTTCACTTGTCAGATGAAAGTCCAAATGTTGTTCGCCGCACAAATTTCCAACATAGATTTTCATTGAACTAATGGGCAGGAGTAATTAAGGACCAAGTAATTGGGCCTATTGTACTTCCCAATCGTCTTAATTCAGAGGTGTATCTGAACTTTCTTCAGAATGAGTTCATGGATATAATACCATTGGATGTGCGCCAGCAGTTTCAAGAAAATATTTTTTTTCAACATGATGGCGCCCCTGTACATTTTGGACGCAATGTTTGAAATTGGTTGAATGTCAGTTTTCCAGACAGGTGGTTAGGCCGAGGAGGTCCTATAGCGTGGCCGCCAGGTTCACATGACCTAAATCCATTGGATTTCTATTTTTGGGGGTCATTAAAAGACCTAGCTTACTCGACTGAAGTAAATACTCAAGAAGATTTACTTCAAAGAATCCATCAGGCTGCAAATCAAATAAGAAGAAAAAGGTTTTCCACTTTTCGGGCTACGCTATCATTAGTTCGTCGAGCGAGACTCTGTATCCAACAAAATGAGAATTTATTTGAACACTTATTGTAAAGCTACTTTTAAGTATATCCAACTGTATGTCTACTTTTTTAAAAAAATTTCAATTTCGTTCGTAGAAAAAATTTATTTCTTTTATTTTCGCCTAAATGTTAGGTATGTTGCAATAGAAATATGTATTTATGTAATATTTACCAATTATTAAATTAGTTTTTTCGTTGCCATGGCTAATTATTCAAGAATTCATTTAAATTCGCAGTACATTTCCTATCATGTGACAAATTTTTTAGTTTGATTTTATTCAAAAATGGCACAATTTATCGATATTTAATAGGAGTTTAATAGGAGAATTCTAAAATGGAATTTCAAAAATAGAATCACACAAAAATTTTGGGGCTAAAATAACTTGAGTCCGTGTTACATACGCTTCCAAACAAAACTCTCTAAAATTGTTAATATTTTTAAATCCAGCATAAGAAACTAGGCTAGAATACCAAATTTTATGTCTTTATCTCAACACGTTTCGGAAATATTAAGGAAAAACCATCTTCAGCAGAGCCCCTTTAAAACACCGTAGCGCCCTTAGGGGACGTTTGTCGATCTATGTTTATATGAACTTTTCTTCCTATTTTAAGCTCTAGAAACCGCTGGAAGAATATTGCAAACTTTTTTGGGACACCCTGTATATATACCATCATGTTATTTATAATAGAAAGCAGAGCTATAAGTCTGTAGTTGTAAGTGTCGGACAAAGACTATCATCTATCTTTGTAGGTTGTACATAAGTAACAAAAAAAACGAGCAACATGGAGCAAGCTTTGATAGAACATGAAGCTTCTACAGCATTAAAACGAAATCTTAATGATTCTTGAGAAGAAGTAATGCATATCTCTATTGAAGTCAGATCAAAAGAAGCGTTCACTGAAAATTATATTGTTTAACTGTTACAGATGATTTACCTTTATATACATTGCGGTTACAAACCGCTTATCATAAACCATACTATTTTCCATGAAAAACTATAATTCACATTCTAATACGAGCAATTTTTATGTGCCATAATATAATCAACTGTGAGTAGCGCATTCTGTGGTTTCACAGGTTTGCCATCGCTAGGCAAATTGATGTGAAATCTATAATCCCACATTTTTATGTACATTTCCTTATGTTTGGTTTCCCGCTGTGAATTGTTTTCTTCTTATTGTTGTCATTAGAATATAAGTGTATCAATGCAAGGCAATACAAAGTAATTAGATTTGAATGAAAGCTATACTCCGACTGCTCGGTATTGTAAGAAACAATGATTTGTTCACAAAATTTCACACACTAGCCTATGTCCTAAAAGCACGAAATTCATTGATTTGGAATTCCAAACGTAAAACGTTATTTTTTCACTACCAACTTGATTATTTATCGCATTTCTCTAAGGAGAGGTTAAATTTGACTTATTTCGCACAGAATTGTCATTGCTATTGAAGCCGTCATCCATTTTTGAATATTTTTGAATATTCTTATTTACTACGAGTAAATGCAGGATCTATTTCATAACTGAAAGTAACAATACTGTATATATTTATACGATAATTTTGACAGCTTCAATGATTTGTCGACGTACGTAGCATAATTCATCTTTCTCCGACCCTACCATGTAAGGGTAACGTCCCTCTCATAGGTATCGTTCTGTGATGCAGACATTGCGTCAACTTTATCTGACAGTGTTGCTAGACGTTGAGAAAATTATCAGATATGCTATATTTCAAAGTCTAAGCAAATTAAACGTAGTAATATATCACAATTAGCAGTGAAAGAATAGACACATCGGTGGAGGAGGTAATAACGTCCTTGTAATGATCATTTTTTCACACTTACGTAACTTATGTTGCAGATTACCGCATTGGAAAGAGGCAGAAAAATAGAGGATCTGCAAAAGCGACTGATTGAATCGGAGGCATTGAGAACCAAGTACAACAGAAAAGTACAGCTACTAAAAGATCAGGTAAGCATTTAATAACAGTTGAATAGATGGCCAACTCTAAAATAACTATCAACATTTTGCGACGATTACCAACTGTTAAGTGACATGTTACAAAAAGATATCCAAATCTTGCATATACAGGGTGTAAACGTTACGGGAGTCATTATTGAAATGGGTAATAGGGGAGGTCAAAACAAGTCAAAAAGTTCATATGCCACATGGTCCAAAAGTCAATAGGTTTTCGTCTAAATGGCTTTATAGTTTACAACTTTAAGTGCTTTATACCGACCACAATCACCACAATCTTACTAATTTTTGACCCCCATGTTATATGAAACTTTTTGCTTCTTCTAACCCCCTCTCTCACCATTTCAATAGACTATCATAACGTTCACACCCTGTATATTTTATTTTTAAAGTGTATCAATCAGTTTATGTCTCAGGTTCGAACTACAGGAGAGACTATAGAACAAGAACGAACTATCAACGAGCATTCAATTCAGCTACTGCGTGACGAACTAGCCCGTATCAAAGAAACCCTAGGTGAAGTGCAACGTAGAGAAGCTCAGTTACAGAGCTTCAAACACTCAATTGCGAAAATCTTAGGAGCGCCCATGCCCATGCCAGACTACGAACTTATATCCAGGTATGTTAATATACAAAATGTTCTCTGGATGTTCTCTTACTATATCAAAGAAGCTGATATTTTGAGAGAGGTGATCCTATTATCAAGTTCAAATTATGTACTACCTTTAAAGACACACATGCGTACTGGACGGCTGCTTGTCGCTGCCTGTCCAGGCATTTATGGCCCGCTACTTTGAGGTGGAGTAAATGAGATTTGAGACATAAGTCTTCTTGTGCGACTACAATTTTGTCTTCAACGTTATACTATTTCTTAGATTGCAAAAGCTAGTGGATGCACACCATGACTTCACTTTGGTTTCAAGACGATACGACGACCCAGCGTTAAGGCTAACAGCCAGGAGTCCTACTCTAGGTAGCAGAGGAGCGAGAACGCCTGACAGAAGCCTCAGGTACGAGGATTCAGGGTATGCTGACGTGGCTGCTGATATCAGTGATGACGTAGATGATGATATGTTTAAAACAAGGACGGGGAGATTATAACATACGTATAAAGGTAGAAGAAGTCTGTGGGAACCGTGAATTATGTGGACCAAGTAGACGTGGCGAACAACAAGCATTAACCTTGTTGCAACTGCATAAAAATTGGTCTAAAAGATACGGTAAAGGAAAATTGGATGAATATAGTTACAAAATCGTTAGAGACTTTTAGAAAAGCCCTTGGCATTGCCTTAAAATGATTGAGAACTTCAAAATCATACAAAAAGGAAGCCACCGTTCGTAAATTTGGCCAATTTAAAATCTTATTTTTAATGGCGAAGTGTAAAGATTAGGAAGAGAAAGGTTTCTGCTAGAAGCATTGTAGTCAGCTTGTTGCTCAGTTTTTGAACATATTGTAAAAAATTTTTGAGAATCACAAAGGTAACTGGTATCTTTTGCTGGATAGATTCATAAATGTCACTGCCAATATCGACTAGATCACAATTCTGATTTTACCTGTTATGTTCTATAAGGTGTCCCACAGTATCTCGATAAATCTGAAAACCCAGATCTTACCTCAAAGATTAGTTCATGAGTAAGGCAATTTAAAGAGCGTTCTGTATTCTTGTTAAATACCTCAAGGAAGCTGTTGCTGTCACACACCTTTTTCTGGTACAATTTGTATTAGGAGACTAACAGCCAATTATACGGAGGTAGGACGTGCATTTGCTAACTTAACACAAAATCTGGTCGTTTGGACAAGTATTGCAAAATGTATAACAACAAATTTTACATTTGACACGTGCCATTGCATTTTGCTTTGAATGCCAGATTCCTTTGTAGCCTGCATTTTTTAAAAGTAAATTGAACTGTGCATCAGATGGTAGCAAAGTCATCAAATAGCGCTTGGTCAAGTTGTGCATAACACTGTCCAATTTTTCTTCGTACCATACATAAAAACCTCTATGACTCTGCCTGAACAACATATGAATCATACTGTATATTTCATTGTTTCTTGGATACCCTATATATTATTCTGCATACGGCTGTCGCGATATGCAACATATGCTTCCTGTTAACACCATGTACGTGTAATATTGAGTACATCATATTGTTATTGTTATGTCATTGTTGTTGTTGTGATCGTGATCTACCAATACTCATTGTCATTATTGTTTTACACTATGTGAATATAATATTATTGTCTGTTGATTTGTAAATAAAGAAATCTCTTGTAAACCTACCTCTAAAATTGCTTTTTTCTTTCTCCCTTTTATTTGTGGTTGAAAAGAAAAATTACCAAAAATCAAACGATCATATTCATGGTCAATATAAGATCTGAGATTATCCTGTGGTTTTCATGTCGATAATCCCAAACGTTTCTCTGTCCAATCAAATCACATGTGTTTAAAATTCTTCATTTTATACATTTATATACTAAGTGACATATAAATCCGAACACCCAGTTTAAATGGTTTTATTTTAATAAATGTTGGTGAATGTATTTATCTTACTGTAAATAACAAGTGAAAAATTTTCAGCCTTATCAGTTGGACATTCCGGTTTTTATACTGCTTTTTTTTAATTCACTAACGCTCTAAAAATTAATATTTCAGCCGCAGTAAAGAATCAACGTTGGCGGATTTTGGTTCTTGACATCCTTTACGATCGGTTACGATGCCTAGTGTACGGAGACCTGTACGATTTCGTCAACTTAGTGAGTTTGATAGGGGCCGTATAGTGGGGCTTCGGGAAGCTGGACTTTCTTTTCGGGCAATTGCAGTTAGAGTGCAAAGAAGTGTAGACACTGTGGTTAGGTGTTGTCAGGCATGGCTTCGAAGGCCGTACGCAAAGAGCAAGGGGCACTGGATGCCGCCGTAGAACAAAAGACCGTGAAGATCGCCGCCTAAGATTATTGGCCTTAAGGGACCGTTTCTCCACTACCAGGTCCATTGCAAATAAATGGTTTGCAGAACACGGAAGACCTATTGGCATGCGAAGTGTTTACCGACGAATGAGAAGTTTTGGCTTGTTTTCATACACTGGGTCCTCCCTTTAACTCGAGAATAGCGACGTAATCACCTTGAGTGGTGCAGACAACGGTCACTCTGGGATCAGGAATGGAACAGTATTGTCTTTAGTGACGAGTCTCGATTTTGTTTAGGCATGCACGATGGTCGTGCCAGGGTTAGAAGGCGACGTGGTGATAGGAGGAATCCACAGTTTTTTGTTGAAAGACATGTTCATCACACTGTTGGGGTTATAGTTTGGGGTGCTATAGCTTATGGTTCGAGGTCACCTTTAATCTTCATCAGAGGTAACATGAACGCGTAGCGTTATATCCACGAAGTTCTAGAACCCCATCTTTTACCCTATCTTGACACCCTGGCAGATCCAACTTTCCAACAAGATAATGCCCGACCACATGTTGCAAGAGTCACAATAGACTTCTTTCAACATAATGATGTCACATTGTTACCATGGCCACCAAGATCTCCCGACTTATCCCCAATTGAGCACGTGTGGGATATGATGGGTAGGAGATTGCTCAATTTGCAACGTCCTCCTCAGACTCTAGAAGCACTTCGAGAGGAGTTGGTGGTTGCCTGGAATGAGATACCACAGGAGGACATTGACCACCTGATCAGAAGCATGCCTAGGCGCGTTGGAGAATGCGTAGCACATCAGGGTGCATCCACACATTATTAAATGTCAAAGGGCTTTAAAGCAGTGCAATCATTTTGAAATTTTTATCATTTACTTATTATGCTTCATTAAGTACCTGTACAAAATTTTATTAAAATAAAACCATTTAAACTGGGTGTTCGGATTTATATGTCACTTAGTATATTTAGACAGAAGAGTTTCGAATTCATGTGGTATCATTGACCAAGCATGGGGGATTAAATATATTCAAACAAAATGGGGTTAGGTAAATTAATTCTGTACTTCAAATCGGTCATGAGCATTATTTAGAATTGAGTACTCTCGTATATATTTTGATACTTACGCCGTGAAGTGATCTATACAGATGAAAAACGTCTAAAGGTAAAGTTTGGGTTTTTTAAAATTTGCTTGTCATAATATAGTTTCCAAAAATACAATATTTGGGTTTCGAAATTTTTCTTGAGTACAAAACTACGAAAATGAAGGAGGCCATAAAGGTGTCCTATAATTGCAGGAACGACTAGCGATACGGCCCTAATGACTTATACGACAACCTGCATCCACTACCTTTCTCGCCAATTAATAGAAGATTCCAATCGTTACCACACCCAGGCGCGCGGAAAAAATTGCATTTCGCGAGACTGCATCTGAGGAAGCACCGACAGACGTACTGACGATGGTCCAGCGTAAAAAAGCCACAGGTCCCCAGAGAAAGTTCCGGACCAATGAGAAAGTTGTTTGGTAGTGCTTGAAAATTCATCATTCAAAACTGAATGTTGGTAGATAAATATGTTACAAACGTATATTGGCTACTATACGAAAGATTGATGTGGTAATGTGCTTACATTTTTACTTTCACAGGCGTTCGTCAGTGTGCTCCTTCCTGATTGTAAACGGACAGCTGTATAAGATTTTCGCATACAATGTTTTTATGCAAATATTTATTAGTTTGATTTCGATAGTAAATGAGAAATGGTAATCGATTTTTAGGAACTTTTTACACTTCAATTCTGAACGGTGGAATACCTAGAAGAGCTTCAGAGTCAGGGTTGCCATATTGTGGGATTTTTCCCCAAATATGGGGCATTTTTACGTCGCTTGTGGAATTTTTGGGGGATAAAAAGTTTTGGGGGATTTCTTGGGGAAAAAAATAAAATCGTTGGGGTATTTTATTCCATCTTTAATTACAAAATACTTCTAGTAACAATTTTGTCTCTGTAGCTTATTCTTTCTACATGTCGCACCCATCTCCATAAAACATCTACGCTGACCCATCTCTACACCTTCATGTCAATTGTAGGTTAGTAGACATGCAGCCGCAGTCATAGAACACCGAAAAATAAGATAATACATTGTGAACTGGTTGGTTGATTCAGGCATCTTTGTCTCACACGTGTGTTTCGGGAGAAAGAACTAGACGACTACTCGTCTTTCCTTCAGCTTGCACAGATTTGCTCGTCCTGTAGATCCACGGCCCTCCCAATCCTAAAATGGCAAAGTGATAGCCAATGCGCCTATCATTTCACGTTCATAGGCTATCGGGGCTCTAGAAACAAGTTGTTCTGACAAGTTTAAAAAATAGTATAAATTCGTTGGAAAAATATAATATACCCCTACCGTGGTCCACCCCCGACTACTGACTGAAATATGATTTTTTATTTAAAAGTTGCAAAACTGTGGTTCCGGCTTCCTGCGACATGGCACCGAGCCGGCATATTTACTCTACGACAGTCAAGCGGTGTCAGGACACGATCACCTCTAGTTTAGAAATACAGTACTGCTATTGAGAGCTTAGACCGTCGCTTAGACTGATCCAAAGAAGTGCTTTGGATTTCCTGAGACAACGGAGTACTTTGTAATGAGAGAGCTGGCTAGGCTGTGTGCCAGGGGCTCCTGCATTGGTCCCAGGCCTAAGTTGGGTATAAGCAGATGCCAGGTCAACGTCGCGCTGTGTGAATGGGCTTAAAGGGACTTGAGAAAGGTGTGGCGAGTGATAGATGACTGTAATCCGCCCAAGAGACTAATAACTGGCCTCGATAAGCATCGGACGCATTGGCTTCTGGATGAACGTAGAGAATCGCGTAATCTTCTGGTGGGGGTTCTTTGGGTACACTGTGGAATGAACAGTTATTCACAGTCAGTTTTTGAAGGCTAGGAGAGATCTTACCTACCCTATGTGTTGGGAGGTGGACGAGGCAGCGTCCCATCTCCTTGATTTTTGTCCTTTATCTTGTAGGCCAAGGTCAGCGAGCACCAGTCAATAGTATTTCAAAACAGAAAATATTTGAAATTGGCGACATCAGATCGTTCTCAATACCGAAGCTACACAGATTTACTACATTTATATATGTAACCAATTCTCATATTTCCAGCAACAAACTAATTTATATTTGAATCCTCTTAATTGGTGATCACCACCGTAAGTACTAAATATACTAAGTGACATATAAATCCGAACACCCAGTTTAAATGGTTTTATTTTAATAAAATTTTGTATAAGTACTTAATGAAGCATAATAAGTAAATGATAAAAATTTCAAAATGATTACACTGCTTTAAAGCCCTTTGACATTTAATAATGTGTGGATGCACCCTGATGTGCTACACATTCTCCAACGCGCCTAGGCATGCTTCTGATCAGGTGGTCAATGTCCTCCTGTGGTATCTCATTCCAGGCAACCACCAACTCCTCTCGAAGTGCTTCTAGAGTCTGAGGAGGACGTTGCAAATTGAGCAATCTCCTACCCATCATATCCCACACGTGCTCAATTGGGGATAAGTCGGGAGATCTTGGTGGCCATGGTAACAATGTGACATCATTATGTTGAAAGAAGTCTGTTGTGACTCTTGCAACATGTGGTCGGGCATTATCTTGTTGGAAAGTTGGATCTGCCAGGGTGTCAAGATAGGGTAAAAGATGGGGTTCTAGAACTTCGTGGATATAACGCTGCGCGTTCATGTTACCTCTGATGAAGATTAGAGGTGACCTGGAACCATAAGGTATAGCACCCCAAACCATAACTCCAACAGTGTGATGAACATGTAGTTCAACAAAAAACGGTGGATTCCTCCTTTCACCACTTCGCCTTCTAACCCTGGCACGACCATCGTGCATGCCTAAGCAAAATCGAGACACGTCACTAAAGACAATACTGTTCCATTCCTGATCCCAGAGTGACCGTTGTCTGCACCACTCAAGGCGATTACGTCGGTGTAAGGGTTAGAAGACGACGTTGCAAGAGCCACAATAGACTTCTTTCAACATAATGATGTCACATTGTTACCATGGCCACCAAGATCTCCCGACTTATCCCCAATTGAGCACGTGTGGGATATGATGGGTAGGAGATTGCTCAATTTGCAACGTCCTCCTCAGACTCTAGAAGCACTTCGAGAGGAGTTGGTGGTTGCCTGGAATGAGATACCACAGGAGGACATTGACCACCTGATCAGTAGCATGCCTAGGCGCGTTGGAGAATGCGTAGCACATCAGGGTGCATCCACACATTATTAAAGGTCAAAGGGCTTTAAAGCAGTGCAATCATTTTGAAATTTTTATCATTTACTTATTAT